CTTGTGGAGGGCTGCCACTTTGTGTTGTCCTGTCTAGGGGGTGGGGGCCCGTCCGTAAGGAGGGCCCCCTCTGGCCGTTTTTTGGCTCCTGAATTCCCCTGCCACTAATGCGGTTTCCCTGGGCATCAAAAACTGATCTGCAATCTTTCGCTTTGTGTGTTCCCTTCCTGCATCGTTCGCACACGCCTATTGGCCCTTCCCGTGTATTAACACTGTGCGGACAGTCTCTCCTAATATGCCCTGGTTCCCCGCAGCCAAAACATCCTTTGGGCTTACGATCTCGCTTAGGTCCGGAAGCACCCTTAGCTTGTGCTGTCGCGGCTACAAAGGCCGCCGCAAGCTTTGCTGCAGTCATCTGCCCTCCAATCTCCCTACAAATCCTAATCCAAGCATTGAGATCCTTGTTTTTATGCGGGGCAAGAGCCGCTTTGCACTCCGTTGTGCATTGTTCAAAAATGAGTTGTTTGATCAGGGGCTTTGCCACTTCTTGGTCTGAAAAAACTTTATCAGCCGCGTCCTGCATCCTAGCCACGAAATCAACAAATGGCTCTGTGGCACCCTGTACTATCTTTGAAAGGCATAATGAGGCCGCCCCCGCACCGTTCACCTGTTTCCATGCGCGGAGCCCAATATTAGAGATTTGGTCATACACCTCATTGGGGAACTGAGTTTGGTCATCCCTATATTGACCTGAGCCCTGGAGCATATCTTCGTTCCACCTTGCATGCCCCCTGTTAACATTCTTTTCTGCTTGCTCGATGGCAAACTCGGCATACCAGGCTCGCCAATCAAGATAACTACCCGAAGGAAGGCACGCCTTGGCCAGCTGCATCCAGTCACCCGGTGTAAGAGGCTGAGAGGCAAGATTCTCTAGCATAGCTATGGTATAAGGAGCTGTGGGCCCGAAGGTCGTGACAGCGCTTTTTAATTCTCTGATCTGTTTTATTTCAAACGGTTCCCAAACATTGCGCCCTTTGCCTGGGGCCATTTGCACAGGGTATACTCCATAAGGACCGTAATCTAGTCCTTGCATCGGTGGATCCCCTCCGAACCATCGTTCACCCTTCCATAACCGCCCATGAAAATACCGTCCGCCCCGCGGCGCGACGTCATAGGACGGCGGTCGCGACAGAGTGGAACGGGGCGTCACTTCCTGTGCCGGCTGAGAGAAGGGAGAGTCCCCTGTAGCCGCCTCTCGGCGGGGAGCCGCTTCTGGAAAAGAGCTCCAGGGCGGAGCGGATGGCTCTCTATCTCCTCCCCGCCAGAGAGCGCTCGGGGGTCCTTTCTCCTCTCTCTGCTTTTCTCGGGCGGAGCACGCACACAATTCACGGCGCAACTCGGCATAGGGGTTTTTGGCCTCTCGGCTTCCTGCCCCACCTTCTGGTTCCTCCTCGCTATCTAAGTCGGAGGACTCCAGAGCTTGGGTGTCCTCTATCTTTCCCTGGATTTTTTCCCCCTAGACAGATCCCTCCCGAGAGCATTCCGACTTTGCCTGCTCAAAAGCCTTGCGTGCGTCTATGATTTCCGCGTCTCTAACTGCCGACGGGAACCCCTTCCCCTCCCCTTTAAGGCACGCATGTATCATTTCCCACAGGGGGCGAATAGCCGGCGAAATATCGCCTTCCAATTCCGCCGAGGCGAGGTCCCCGCCTAACTTCTCCCATGACGGCAGGTTTAAATGCCCCGTGGGTAAAAACCAGGGAGCCACCCTATCTACCTCTGCTATGAATAGTTCCAGTGTTTTTTGACCTACCCTGAGGTCTCTAGCTTTTAAAAGCTTTCTAAGGGCCTTTACCAAGGGCCGCGCCTCCGCGCTCGGTAAATTACCCATCTCTAACCTCTAAGGGCTGTAACTCACCACGTGTGACTTAGAGAACCCGTCACCTACGCATGAGCCTGAGGGGAGTCTAAAAGCCCTGTAGGTGCGCGCCACCCAGAGCCCAGGCTTATCCCCCACTCACCTGTCCGGCAGCACCACGCTGGAGCGTTGCACACCACCACCGCGTCTCGGGGTTGATCAGTCCCCGTACGGGCCACCAGATGTCGGTGTCGCTCCCGGCCTGCAGGAAGAACACGCGACAGATTCTGACGGTGTGCAATCTTGCCTTTATTTGTCTCCGCGTGGGCCCCGCGAGGCCTCTGCTCTGCCACCAGCCCTTTCTTGCCAGTGGACTTTCTCTATCTCTCTCTGTGCTTCTCTCTCGTGGCGGGAGAGGCACTCACTTTTATAGGGTAACAGTGGCCAATCAGTTCAAAGCGTGCGATGCGGGCTGACTGGCTAACATCAGTTGTTGCTAGGCAGACTATCTTACAGAGTGGGTTGTTTAAGTCGCCAGGGCAATCAGGGGGCAGGAAGCAGGCGCCAACTTGGCTCACTCGATGAGAGGGGTAACTTAGCTCAGGCTTTGCTCTTTTCTACAGGCCTCACGTCCGCCAAGTAAAGCGACTGGTGTCGGCCGCGGCTCCCAACACAACACATTTCAGCAGAATGCGGCAGCTGCCTTGGAGAGGGGTCAGGGGCGCCCTGTCCTGATCTCTGGGCGTTGCTGAGAGAAAACTGGGCCTCGGCTTTGTAGAAGTTTGAGGGTCCCTTCTAGCCTGCTGTCCAAAATAGAGGAGACACTCACCAGGCATTTATTATGTTTAGATCATTTAAATTAAGATGAATCAGAGTTAAATAAAATGTAAGAGTCCGTTCCTCGGCTGGCAGCTGCTCCCTTGCTCAGTCCCCACTTGTGGCCAGTGGTGCCCTGGTGATTCCAGGAGGCTCACAGGAGGGCACAGCTGGGCACAGGTGGCCCTCCGCCTGGAAGCTCTCCCTGGGCACTCTGGAGCGGGTGCTGAGCTCGGCCCCTGGGGCACACGTTGGAAGGTAGAGCCTCAGGCGCAGCTGGACTTTCCGAGTCGACACCTGCGTCTCCCTAAGAGTCCCCACTCCAAGCCACGTCTAGGCCTCTCTGATCTGAGATTGCCTCCAGCTCCAGAAGTGAAATGTGAGAATCTGGGTTCCCGCTGGACCACATCTCTAGGAAAGGACCAAGTGAGGGGCAGGAGCCGTGCAGATTCGGACTCACTGATTTGCCTAGAAGGAGAGAACTGGGAACGCAGAGGTTTGCCAGTGGCTAGCATGGCCGTGCTGGAGCCAGAGACAGAGGAAGCCCTCGGGTTTCTGGGGTAGCAGAGAGGCGAGGAGGAGGCTCAGGCTACGTGTGCGGTGCCCCTCCTGCCCGGAGTGTCACGGTGCCTGAGAGCCCTTCCCCAGCCCTGCTCGCGGGCCTGGCACTCAGTCGGAGAAGCAGGCACGGAGCCGGGGAGCAGCCTGGCCACGAAGGCCCAGAGTCTGGCTCTGGGCTGCAGCTGGGACCTGGAAGCCGAGGGTGCACAGAGTGGAGGAGAAAGGGTTAGAACTGCTGCCTGCTGAGCAGAGGCGCATCTCTTACAGGACAAAATTGCAGCTGTAGATCTTATTTAATTGATATTACACTTTATTGCAGAATGTTAAAATTTTAATGTGTCCATAAATCCATTTCCCGCTTTCAGAGGAATTACCCATGTGAGGATCACAGCCCAGAGAAGAGGCCGGGGAGGGAGGGTGAACCCAGGGTACCTGCCTCTAACACTGCAGGAGGCTGGGAAATGGTGCCGCATGGCCGGAGCCAGCTAGTGAAGGCTGCTGATGAGAGACGTGGGGCATCTGCGGGGCCACCTGCTCTGATGCACAGGGGCACAGACAGCAGGGACGGACTTGGGACGGGTGGGTCAGCACTGAAGCCTGCCCGGTGGAAACCACCGTGTTCCCAGCAGGACAGCAGGTGAGTCAGGTTCCCAGCCAGAGCTAGGAGTCAGGTAGAGCTGGGAGAGACCTCCCGGAGCCGGGGAGCCCGCTGTGAGCCCACTACCGTGGTCTCTGTGGGCTCCCTGGTGAACTGCACACCTGCCTGGAGCCTCTGCTTTCTGTATGGAAAGTGCAAAGGGCACCGATCTCCAGGAGCTTGGGACAGAGTTTCACTGCTTCAGGGAAAGCACCTACAGCATGATGGGTAATTAGTGCCTGTCAGTGTGGCCATTAGTCCATTAGTCAACCAACCATTTGGGATCAAGTCTAGAGTAATGGCCCAGGACATGCTTGGGAAGGAGAGGCCGGAGCGTGGGCCTCTGTGTGCTAGGGGTCCTCCAAGCCGTCTCCCCACACACCCTAGGCAGTGGGCAATGCTGTCCCTGTCCTCCTAGGGACCATGCATGCTGAGCACTGCCAGCTCTCCCTCTAGGCATCCAGATCTGACAGGAAGTGAGCTTGCTGGCCCCGCCCTGCCATTTCCGAGTGCAGTTTGCACGCCCTTGGTCCTCTGTCTGGTGTCCAAAATCAGAGCACCTGAAAGCAGGCACTGTTACAGCGCTCTCCGACATGGTGCAGCGGCTTGAAATGTCAGCCTGTTGCTCAGCCTAGGGTTGCTCCAACAACTAGACCCATGGTAGTGTCTGTTGCTTGAGCGATGAACAATCACAGCCCAACAGACCCAGACAAATCTCAGTGGTTTAAATCAGTGAGGGACCTGCTGGTTCCCGTGGTGGAGGATGACCCTGACCATATGCTGGGGAAGTCAGGGTCAGGGATCTTGAGGGATGTAGATAGCCCTGGACCACCATGATGTTTCAGGGTCATTATGAGTCCTTCTCTGAGGAGAGCAGCAGGATCCCAGTCATGGAGAGGGGTTCTGACCTCCAGGGCACTGAGCAGGTACACAGCGGCCTCTGAGAGGCTTCCATGGGGTCTTCTGTTACACAGCCGTGGGAGACCAAAGCAGCGGGGCATACACATGGCTGAGGGCGGAGGCCCAGGGAGCAGGGGGATCTGGCTCATGTTTCTGGTGCCCCTCGTGGGCTGCAGCAGTAGCAAACCACAGCCAGGTGGTCCCTTTGCATGGGTGACAGAGAACAGCCATCAGCCTGCCTGCTGGCCCTTAAAGCTACTCCTGATTTGGTTTCTTTTTAATTTCCAGGGGCCCAGGGACATGGGTGTCTGGACTTCTGGCACCAACACCCTCCTACATCTCTGGGAGATCTACGTCCTTCCGAGAAGCCCAGGGTGGGCTGGCTTTATCCAGCATGTGGGGGTCTGTGGCCTGATGGCCCTTATTTCAGCGAGCCTGCTCTCCGTGGCTTTCTACTGGTTCCTGCCCCTGAGCGCAGTGGTCCCCGCCTGTTGGGTGGTCACCTGGGCTCTGCTGTGCTGCTCCAAGCGTGCTCGGTGCTTCCTCCTCCTCCTCTTTCTCTCCTGTGGCCTGCGTGAGGGCAAGAAGGCTTTGATTGCTGCCGGCACAGGCATGGCCATCTTTGGACACATCGAGAACATTTTCCACAACTTTAAAGGCCTCCTGGACAGCATGACCTGCAACCTAAGGGCAAAGAGCTTCTCCATACATTTCCCACTTCTGAAAAACTACATCGAAGCCATTCGGTGGATTTATGGCCTCTCCACTCCGCCAAACCTATTTGATGACCTCATTTCTTGGAATCAGACCCTGGAGGTCTCTCTGTCCAGCTCCAGCCATGCCGTGGAGGCGCAGCTAAATGACACCAGGGGGGAGGTCCTGGGCGTCCTGCAGCACACGGTCACCATGATGGAGACGGTCTCCTCTCTCGGCCGGAAGCTTCTCACCTGCGCTGGGCTCTTGCTCCTCCTCCTCGGTACCGGGCTCTTCCTGAAGCGGGTTCTGGGCCCGCGAGGCTGGAAGTACGAAAACGTCTACATCACCAGACACTTTGTCCAGTTTGATGAGGAGCAGAGGCGCGGGCAGAGGCCCTGCGTGCTGCCCCTGAACAGGAAGGAGCGGAGCACCTATGCTGTGGTGCCCTCTCTCCGGCTGACCCCCAGGGACAGAAGGGCCCTGGGGCTCTTCCTGCTCCCCGTCCTCGCCCACCTCTGCATGTGGGTGCTGTTCGCAGCCGTGGACTGCCTGCTGTACTGGCTCCTCTGCTCAGTGGGTGGACAGCTGCGGAGCCTGCCAGGGCTGGAGGTCCACTTGCAGCTGCATGGGGAGGTAAGGGGGCACTGTTGGGTCCTGGCAGTGAGCTGGCACACAGGAGCCCGGCACGGCCGAAGATAGCACAGGATCCTGCTTTCCCTAGCTAGGAGGAGGCCTCTGAAGCCAGCGTCCTTGGCCCACACCAGTGTGTGTGGCCAGGCCACAGCCTTTTTAGATACCAGGGGAAAAGCCACTCTCTGCCTTTCCCGCTCCTGGTGTTTTAATGGGAAGCAATCTAGTACACACCTGCTGTGATCTCAGAGTGCCTGTCTCTGGACACTCTTGGGAAGCTCTTGCACAGGTGCTAGAAATCAACACCCGCTAAGCCGGTGGCCCTGGCCTGGCCTCCAGGGACATCACCGCAGAACTGACAGGGGGTAAGAGCATGCGGCACTTCCTCCAGAGTCCCCGCAGGAGCCGCTTTGCTGGGGCGAGGGCTGCCCTCCCCATCTTAGACTTCCCGTTTCCCTGCGGAAATTTGTGATGATGTTGACATTGAAGAGGCTCTGGACATGGTCAGACCCTTGCGTTAGGTTTTTTAACCCTGGAAACTGAAAATAATCAGGTGGAGTGTGTGCCTGAGTGTGTGCCTGAGTGTGTGTGCATGTGTGTGCATGCATATGCAAGTGTGTACACATGTGCATGTGCACAGGTTATGTGTGTGCGTGTGATGTGTGCTGGGCTGACATGCTGCCTGCCCAGAGCAAACTCTATGTGTTTGATTGGCCCCCTCTTTGATAAGTTGCCCTCGACTGCGGAGGCTGCTGGCTCCTCTCAGGGGGAGGCGATCCTGGATCCTGCTGCTGCACCTCTCTCCCCTGCTCAGCGCCAGCCCTCCTGCTGTGTCCTCCTTTCCCCTCTCCTCCTGGCTCAGCAGATCCGTCCCAGTCCTGCCCTCATAATCCCTGGTTCTTCTCCAACTTGATTACTCCAAGCTCTCTGCTTCCCTGAAGAGTTCAGTTAATTACGAGGTGCACTGTTGCTGGGACATTTGGAGCAGGTGGAGAAGGGACACAGTGTTCCAAAGGAGAGCCAGGCGGAGCCTCGCCAGGCATCTTGGGGTGGCCGTGACAGTGACAGAGGCCGCCTCTGCCCGCTGCTCCCTCTTCCTCCCTCTCCGTCCTCCCCAGCCTTCCTGCTAGTTCTGCCTCTGTCTCAGCCATTTCCCAGCCCGTGCCCGGCCTCCATGCCTGTTTTGGGAATTCTCTGGTTAGACAGCAGAGGAGGGAGCCGGCTCTGCCCTTCCTGAAAACCCCAGCAGCTTTTGGAGGGCAGTGCCAGTGCCAGACACGTCATCTTGGGGCACTTCTGGGTATGAGTTCCCTGTCCACCCCCGGGATGGGGGGCTCGGGGCCTGCATAACGGCAGTGGGGTGCTGGACAGCAGATGTGAGGGGCTACCCCGCACCCTCCCTCTCCAGTAAGCTCCTGCATGATCAGAAACGCCCAGTCTGCCTTGTCTCAGGGTGCCCGCAGCCCCCCTCAGCCATGCAGAGGGGCAAAGGAAAGTTAAGTTGGGGAGACGCCCTGGCTCGAGACTTTGCCAGTATTTCTCTCCCACTTTCAATGTTTTAAATGAAGAAGATGAGAAATGATCCAAGTTGAGCTGGCCACAGAGAGAGGTTTGTAAAAATAGCCCCACTGTGTTCTGATGGGCACCTACTCTGTGCCTGGCACTCAGCCAGGGTCCTTTCCCAGCTTTGACCCCAGCTCCGGCCTTCGGCTCAGTGCTGCCAAGTGTTTACTTAAGAGGAGTAAACAGCGTGTGTGTGTGTGTGTGTGTGTGTGTGGCCACAGCTTGGCATCTGGAAAGAGTGAACTTGTCTTCCACGTTACCCTCCACCAATTCTGCACAAAAAATTGACTCAATCTTCCCGAAGCCCAGACTCCCACTGCAAAAGAGTCCCCAGCGAGGTTTCTAAACCAAATAGCTTGTTCTCCGCAGGCCGACTCCTGGGGCTTTCCCGCTGCAGGGCCGCTCATCATGGCTCCGGTGGTATTAAAAAGAGTATGCGCTCTTCTTCAGGGCCTGGGACTGCTAATTGCAGCCTGGCTGTCTTTCTGAGAAGAGAAACCACACAAATGTTTCCGCTGCTCAGGCTGGGGGCCAGGGGTCTCACACTCTGCCCAGCCCTGGGGTGGGTGCAAGACCGCCTGCTCTCCCCTTGTGGCTGGGCTTTGGTTCTGCTTTGCTGAGTCCTTTACCTCCTCTGCCCTGGCTCTAGCTGCTTGGATGATAATAGCTTACTAAGTACCCTGCCTGTGAAGTCAGTGCTCCATCCTAAGGTGCTTCATCTACACTGCGAGTAGTTTACTCATGGGCAGATCTGGTCCATTAATTCCTGACTTACCAAATTAGAAAGCAAATCCACTGAGGGAGGCGATGCCTTTCCCAGGTCAGGGGAGGAAAGGGCCGACAGTGTAGGCTTCCTTCCTTCGTGGATGACAGGCTGGTGACTCAGTGTCCCCGTCTGACCTCTGACAGGCTTCTGAGGGCGACTGGTTTGTCTCTTGCCTTCAGATGGTAATGAAGGCCCCTTTCTGGGCAGCTGAGGTGAAGAAGTGCCTGAGGTTAGAGACCTCCGAGCAGAATGGGGAGCCCTTGTCATGGAGAGCTTGGGATGACCTGACCACCCCGAAGAGAGCGTTGAACACTGCACAGGAGCGTGTCCCCTGCCCCCTGTGTTCCCCAAGACTGCTTAGAGCCCCGTTCAGTGGCCCAACATCTTCACGCCTGGTGGAGGTGTTACCCTGACTGGGAGGAGGAGACCGAGTCCCCAGCTGATGGGCTGATGCCCATCTCCTCAGACCCGTGAGTGCTGAGTTAAGCCTACAGATGCCTTGCGTGGTGAGATCTCCTCACTTCTCCTTGGCCCTGTCCCCAGCCTCAGGCTGTGGGCAGGCAGGGCAGGCACACTTGGGTACCCTTCTTTCAGGGGACCTCTATCTGTAGAAATTTGCTTGGGAGCGCACTGCTGCGGGTGCACAGAAGATCGCACTGCTCCTTGTAGCACAGGAAGACACAATTGCAAAGCTGTCTTGTGAATTTGGAGACAAACACTACATGCTGCAGGGAAGTACTGAGAAAGGATTGTAGCAGGAAATCACACGGTGTGACTGTTTTATGCTTTCATTTTAGAATCAAGGAACTCAAGACATCATCCACGATTCCTCCTTTAATATATCCATATTCGAACCCAGCTGTATGCCCAGACCCAAGCTCCTCCTGGCTAAGACCTGGGCTCCTCTTGGTGTTATCCTGGTGGTGTTGGTGCTGCTGGGCCTGTTATCCTCCATCCTGATGCAACTCAAAATCCTGGTGACCACGTCCTTCTATCCCAGCGTGGAGAGGGAGCGCACCCGATACCTGCATGCAAAGCTGCTGAAGAGAAGATCAAAACAGCCGCCAGAAGAAGCCAAAAGGAAGCAAAACAGATACTTCACAGAGGTGAGGTGGAGAGGGGAGCGTAACTTCTGATTAAGATGTGTGGCGAGGTTGGAGGGCAAAAGGAAAGGAGGCTTTAATGCCCTCTTCGTCTTCACATCAGGGCTTGATTCCCAGCAGGAGGGGGAGTGTTGAGAGGGAAATTACAAACCCACACGTGTAAGCACTGTGGTTTGAATCCTTCAGAATTCTGGCTTCAGGTCAGAGCATTCAGCCGTGCCATCAAGAGGTCCTCTGCACTGGTTATTACAGGACAATCCCACTTTGCAAAGCTGAGGACAAAGAAAAAGATGACAGCAAGTCTCTCAATGCAGTAAACTTCAAAGAATTTTCATATTCTTCTGCATTATTTTATAGACACACAGATGTAGTGTCTCCCGTGGACACACAGAAATGATCAATGATCATGTCAAAGATTTTATTTTATTTGCTTAGTCATTGGGAAAAAAATTGTAACAGATTCAAAGTGTGTGCACGTGCACACATGCACACACACACACACACACACACAGGTCATCAGGGGTCCAGAACGGATTTGCTGAATAGTTGTAGCTAGAACTGGCTCCTTCCCCAAGGGTTGTGGGCAGTCAGTTGTACTCGCTGTTAGAGCGAGGCCAAGGTCAGAGTCCCTGGCACTGTTGCTGCCTATAACTTACAGAACTGGAAAAGAACTCAAAACCAACAAAACCCATAAAATAAGCATTTCAAAGTCCTCAATTTTTCCTAAGACCAATAGCCCATAGTGAGAAATTTCTGTTGGGGGTATTTGGGATGACTTGTGTTCACACATCCTCTTTTCAGGTTCATTTCTGGCTTCCGGCCCTGGAAGTGATTAGGAGGAAACACAGGGACGTGGCACCTGAACACAGTCTGTGAGGGGTGATGTCGTGGGGCCACCTTGTGCCACTGGCTGTGCCCCCGGACTGCTCGTCACAAAGCTAAGTGGATGCCAGGTAAATGCCTACGTGGTCTATTTCCAAACAAAGTGCAGGATTAGACCCTGTCACGTATAACAGGACTCTATCCAGCCACCTTCCTGATGCCTCAGAGAGAGCACCACTCAAAGAAAAAACAAGACAAAGACAGTGGACATCTCTACAGCAATGTCACGGGCAATGCCAAGGAGAACATACGAGTATAAAACCAGCAAAAATCTTTTCAATTTTTATTATGGCTCATGGGTGTTCCCCATCCTACCAGTGTCTTCCCCAAGTCCCTGATTCAGAAAGTATTCCTGAACCCACTTCCACACCTCCCAATTTTTTTTCTTTTCTTTCTTTCTTTCTTTCTTTCTTTCTTTCTTTCTTTCTTTCTTTCTTTCTTCCTTCCTTCCTTCCTTCTTTTTTTCCTTCCTTCCTTCCTTCCTTCCTTCCTTCCTTCCTTCCTTTCTGTACCAGAGACTGAGCTCATGACCTTGCGGTTGCCATGCAGGTGCTCGAGCCCCTGAACTAAATTCCCTGCCTCATTTCCCAGTTTCTTCCCCCCACTGCTTCCTCTCCTGAACCCCACATGCCTGTGGCTCTCTTGTTCTCTTCTAGCAAATCCTCCAGCCTAAGATTCATGACTGAGTCACCTGGAGGCCACATCTGTCAAGACAATCTAATGATCTTGTTATAATGCACATTCTAGACTTCTTTATCTTTAACTATCTCAAAATAATGGGGAGGGAGAAAATCTCCTTGAATACTGATTCTATTATTTCTAGAGTACCAGGGTGGGGGAAATTATTTTTATTTTAACATTTTAAAACACTTTTCCTTTTGAATAATTTCAGACTGACCAAAAGTTGCAAAAACAGTAGAATTCCATTTGCCCTTCACCATCAACCCAAAACATTAACTTCTCCCATGACCATGGTGTAGTTCCCCTCCCCCCCTTTTTTTTGGTACCGGGGATCAAACTCACGATCTCATACTTGCCAGGCAGACACTTACACCAGTGAGCTAAATCCCCAGTCGCTTGGTATAGTTCTTAAAACCACAAAAATAACATTGGAAAATGCGTCACCTGTAGAATTCACTCTGTTTTTGTCATTTAGCCCACTCATAGCTCTTCTGTGGTCCTTGGTTCACTTGTCTCCTTTCTTAGTCCCACAAACTGGGGACAGTTCCTCAGTCCTTTTCTTTCATGACTTGACACCCCTGCAGGGTACTGGCTGGGTATTATGGGAAATGGCACACTGTTGTTTCTTCTAATTAAAATCAGGAGATGCATTTTTGGTGCAAATGCTTCAAAAGTGATGAGATTCCTTTTTTCATGCACTGTGGAGGGTGGTGCATGGTGTCGACATGTGTCATTCTGGGAAGTCAGTTTTGGTTATTTGGGGAAGGTGCTACTGGCCGCCACATTCCACCACTGTGAATTGTTGTCTTTCTCTGTGTGATATTTAAGCATCTCGTGGGGGAAGTTCTTTGAGTCTGTGCTCGTAACCATGTCTCACATTTTTTTCACCCTCTGATTTTCACATCCATGAATGTAAAAATTACTACCATCGTGACCAGGTGTGCTTTCTATTTTCTTCCCCGTGTCTTCCTGGAGTTCTGCGATGAGGAACTACACTGCCTTAGCACATCCTTGGTAAAAATGGCTCTCAGTTCGGAGGGACCTCAGAGGCTTCATGGCCTTCCCAGATGTTGGAGCTGAGGAACCACCAGGGCTTGTCCATTGAACCTGTGCCCTTGGCCCTAGAGATGGGCCGAGCATGTGGCCTCTGCATGTTGGGTCCTGGATTTTTTATTTGTTCACTGTAAGCTCCTGCCCATCTGCTCAGAAGCCTGCCCATAGCACCATGTTTTTACCCATCTTATTCTTTGAAAACTAGTCCAGACAAGCCTATTTGAAGCCACCTGTATGTGGCCCACTTTGCATGCCCTTTTAAACCTCTCCTCCTATCCACTGCCTCCAGGAGCACAGCCCACTTCAGCCTTCTGCACCCAGGCCTTCTGCACCATGCTGCTGAGCAACCCACCGCAGGGACACATTAGCTTGACCCCTCCCTGGGAGCTCCCGAAACCTCCCCCTCTGGGGGGTCCCCTTCCCTCTTCCAGCAACCTGTCCAAGAGCTGCCTGATAAGACTGGTGGGTTAGTGGCTCCTCTCATGGTCACATTTCTTCCCAAGATCAGTCCCTCAGTCTCTCAACTGCCTGCAAGATAAGTCTCTGTGTCATGAGGTATGGAAATTAGGTGTGAATAGGGCCGGTAAGTCAGCAGAGCCAAACTGTTAGCATGCTTGTTAGCCATCTTTTCCTTTACCTGACACATTACCTGGAACCCACAATTTAGAGGGTGAAGGTTTAACTTAGCTCACGGTTCCAGCAGATTCACTCCATGGCCAGCTGTCTGGAAGGGAGAAATAATATCATGGCGGAGGGTCTGGCAGAGCAAAGGTGCTTAGTTCTTGGTGGCCAGAAAGTAGAGCAGGGCAGAGCGTCAGAGAGAAAGGGTGAGGAGTCCAACAGAGCATCCCAGAGCCACCTGGACACCCTCAGAAGGTTGCTTTACCGTCCTCAGGCGGCCTCCAAGGCAGCCATATGACACAATTAAAGCTTAATGACCATGTACGTGACGAACTTTGAACACGAATTCTTTATGGTCTTCTGATTTTGCCAGCCTTGGTTAAGGACAAAGAAACCGCTTTCTTAGCCAGTGGTTCCCAACCTGGTCACAGTTCCTGGGGTACAGACATCCCAAACATTGCTGCTGCCCAGCCTCACCCTCAAAGAGCCTGGCTTTGCTGAAGTAAGTCCTGGCACTGGCATGTTGGAAGCTCCTTGATGATTCTAACAAGCAGGGAGGATTGAGAACCACGGTTCTAAATTCTAAGGAGTCTTACAGAATTGGAGAGCTTCAGTGGTGAAAATTCTTCAAAACAAGAAGCTGGCGTTAGCAATCTGTCTGGCTCAGCATTCTCAAAGTGTGTTCCTCCGGCCTTCAGAGGAACACTGTTTTCATAAAAACAGTGATGTAGTGAAGGTTTTTCACCAACCTGTACTGCCGATTTCTGGCCCTGAAGATTCACAAAGCATAGTGGAATAATGAAAGACATTGAGAGATTCTAATATTAAATGTATAATATTGCAGATTATAATACATCTCTTTCAATCTGTGCAACCTAGAATTTCCTCTAATAATTAAACCAGAGAACAACTCTACCTGTAGTAATTATTAACATCTTTAGGACCAGCTCTATAGCTCATGCTTTGGTAAATGCTTGTGCAAAATGCATTTGAAAAATGGACGCATTTGGAATCTTGGCCCTATACAAACACTGTGACTGTGGACTTTGCTGTATTTTCTTGTGTGTTTTTGTCTGATTGTTTGTGCTTGTGGTATTGGGTGTGGAAGCTTGACAAGTACTAGGCGCTCAAGGTCGGTGCTCTGCCACCCCAGCCATGCCGAGCTTTCCAAATAAACCAAACAAACTGGATGATACGTGGATTTGTGTTTGCATTGTAAGCTTATTCCTTCTACAGAGATGTACTTCATGTTAACCAAGGCAAAGCATCTTCTGTTCAGTTGTTAGAGATTACAGGTTGGTTCTGAGGTTCTAAATTATATTACTGAGCATATTTATTTATCTGACTACATCACCAGCATCCAGAGCAAATATTTGACCAAAGCCACATAGAAGGTTCTGGTGATGCTCAGGAACTCCCCTTGGTGCCTGGCTTTGGGGACCTACTTCTGCTCCCAGTCTACTCAGCAAGTCAGACAGACACTTCGCCGATGAACAGGAACATGCAGCAGCTTTAGGAAAGTGCTGGGGGTGGGGAAGCCTGGCACCAGCAGCCCTGGTGGGGCTCTGGGCATCGCTCAACACCATCCCCAGCCCACCCCTCTGCTCTGTAGCAAGGGGATTAGGAAGGTGGGTCGATTTCGTTGAAACCAAATCTCCCTTTCTACAGCAGCTGGCTCTGCTGCCTCCAGTAACTCTGAACTGGTCACAGTGCTCCCTGTGTGTCTCTTCCAGACAGGTTTGTCCTCAGTCTGAAGTCTCCTCCAGGGCAGGGCAGACTGGCGAGGAGGCGCTGCCGGCAAAGGCTGTTTTGATCATGGAAACAGGATCCGGACTTGCTCATTAGGGCCAATGTAGCAAGGATACATAATGCTGATTTAATTGCAGCTTATCACGTTCGATTTAAATAAATTGCCAGTGAAGTCCCCTGAGACATCTATTGTGAAAGGTGCCCTGTTAATCTTATAGAGGCGGAGAGATGCTGCCCAAGGTAATTTCATAAACTTTCTCTTTTCACCTCTGATTTGATAAGCCGATGAAAGTCTATTGCATTACAGGCTAAGTCACCATTTGCCATCTCATGAATCCCAATTTGGTGGCTGTGTTTTGCAGGATCTTGCAGTGTCACTGTGCTGACTTCACTGACTCCAAATGTGCTTTCAGCTGAGCTGAGCTTTGAGAATAAAATGTGGTAATTTTATGCTCCTTCATACCATGTTAACAGATTTCATTTATTGTTCTACTTGGTACATCCAACATCATCCTTTCTCTTAGATTCTATATCCCCTGCTTTCTCTGTTAGGCACTAATTAATTGTAATTATAATATAGGATTTGGTAAAGTCTTCTCACATGCATTTTTGTCCTAATTGTCCTCAGAGGAAGAAATACTGTCTCCCTGTCAAGGAGTGCTCCACTTAATCTTGATTGTCACCTTGGCTGGGTTAAAGGACTGGAGACACAGCTGGATTGTGAGGGCACTAATCTCACCAAAGGGTTAAATTAACTCTTTGAGGAGTTAATAGCTGAATGAGCTATTAGGATGTGGGGCCCAGCTGGAGGAACTTGATCATGGGGCAGTGGCTGGGGGATTATATCTGGTCCCTGGTCCTGTCCTCTCTGGTTCATTCCCTGCTTTCTGGCCCCAGATATCATGAGAGGGGCAGCTTTGCTCCATCACACCCTTCTGCATGATGTTTCAGCCTTGTAGCCTGCCATGGACTGAACCCGCTGAAGCCGTGAGCCAAGTTAAACCTCTGCTCCTTTAAGTGCTAAGTGTCAGGTATTTTGCCCCAACAATGAGAATGCTGGAGCAGGAGTTAGCAACACATAACAAGATCCCTGAAGACGATTATTTAAGTTGTACAATGGAAAAGAGAGGAACTAATTGATAAAATGACTGGATTTGAGTGTAGGTATGTATCTCTATTAAACATCTATCGTATTAACTAATATAACCCTGTACCAGGCAAGGGAAGGGTCTAACTTAACAGATGATTCAGGCTCCCAAATGTCGGGAATTCAAAGCCCCTTTGGGATTTAATCCACAAAGGTTGTAGTGACATTAAAATAAGAAAAGGAAGTGAATAACCAGATACAGGAACAAACCACCTTTTACCACTGAATCTTGAGTGTGTGTGTGAAGCTTACTTTTGAAATCAGCAGAAGGAATCATAGTGGGTTGATACTGGAGCGACGTGAACAGATGCACAGGGAAAGTGAAACACGTGACAACAGAAACAGAAGTCCAACTCCCTGCAGTCCTGTGGTTAAAGCGGAAAGTGTTGGCACCGCTTCCTGAGTGCTGAGGACACACGCAGTGTGCTGTGCGGGGGCCCTGTCCTTCTCCACAGCCTCATTCAGCAGAGACAAGAAAGGACACAGCCACTGACTACATCTTGGGGCTCAGGAAGTGGGCAGCTTTGCGGGCTTAAGGGCGGACCAGAAATGTGGGAACAGGGGTGCACCCTCATGTTCTAGAGCGCAGTGGTTTCCAAGCTTGGCTGATCTCTAGAGTCACCTAAAGAAGTAAAAATGAAAGAAAATAAAATTATAGATTCCCAAACCTAATCCCAGGCAGACTGGATGCCCCGCCCAACCCTAAGTGCTCAACAGAGGCTTTCAAAGATGATTGGACTGTGGGGGTTTTCAGCTGACTTGCTAGGTGAGTCTGGGCTCACTGGGGTGTCCCCCAGCTCCTCCCTTCTCCCTCGCTTTCTGCTTCCTGTCCCCCATGCCCTGAGAAGCTCTTCTCCTCCAGGAGAGCCGTGCTGCACTGCCTTGGAGCCAGCAACTATGGACTGAACCATGAACTGAAAGAAATCTCTTTTCCCTTGAGTGGTGGGTGTCAGGTATTGTGTCTCAGCATCAAGGAGAGCGACGAGGACCTGCTTTAAACCACTGGAAGAGTCCCAGAACTTCATCTGGGAGTTAGTTGGACAATTAGGCAGATTTGGTTACCACAGGTTTAGAGAGTCTCAGCCTGGGAGATGAGGGGAGTTTGATTAAATGACACATCAAGACAGTGTCGGGTAATTTGTACGCATACACGCACGAAGTTTCACCTACCCGCCGAGCCACTATCATTCTCCAAGAATGCAAAGTGCTAATTAGCTGCCAGGAGCTGCCCCACCGTCATGGCCTGCAGTCCAACATGACAGTCGGGTGGACAGCCACCCAAGTGAACACAAACCCCTCTTGCAGGACAGTTCTGGCCTATCATGAGCTACTTATTAAATACGAGTCGGTATGCACTAGTGTCTTTTAACTAAATTACTTTCACCTAGGGGATGGGAGATCACATTTTTTCGCAGTGGAAGGCAAATGTGACATTAATAATCCCATGATATTGTACCAAGAGATACTTTTAGAACTGGGAAAGCTGGATTCAAATCCATTTTCTAATTACTAGTGACAAAAACTTAAGCAGCTTAGATCTTAACTCTCTGAGCCTCTGGTAGGTTACTTACAACATAAGGCTAAAAATACCAATCTTGCCGCAGTTTGAGAATTAAATGAAATGACGTGTGTCACGTGACCAGCATGCTTCCTCCCCAAGTAGACAAACACATGGAAGCGCTTCCTTCTTCCCACAATTCCTTGCCCAGCTCCATTTGTTTCTATTTTTGACAATAGGATTCATCCTGAGAGAGTAGGAACAAAGGAATTTCAACCACCAGGAGCTGGAGAGTGTTGTCTGTGCACTGCAGAGTGACTATTTTAGGCTTTACGGTCTTCGGTCTCTGTTGCCACCACCCCAAGCCAGCATCGTCACAAGATGCCACCATGGGCCCTACGTAAAGAGATGGGTATGGCTGGCTTCCCATGAAGTTTGTCTGCAAATATGAGTGGCCAGCGGATTTGGCCAGCGGACTCTACAATGCCTGAAATGCAGGGGGACTTCACAAACACATGGACTGATCAGGGTCTGATGCAATGGGAATTCATAAAATCCCAAAGAAAATGATAGTCTCTTTTCACCGTGAGCTACCTGCAAAACAGTTCACCTCTCCCGGCTAGACTTTGATAAAAACAGAGTCTCACAGCTCACAGTTCTCCAAGGGGGGCAGCCTGGAAGGGACAGTGCCCCAGGGGCCGGGAAGGACCGGCTGGCTCTGTCGTGGTTGATTAATGAATCGTGAAGAACAACAGAAGCTGTCTGGTCATTGGTGTAATTTATTTGATGAGAAGAAGAAAAGGTAACACGAGGTCAAAATAAATGTTATTTTCTTCATAGACACTGAGAAGTACTCAGAAAAGTTATTCAGTTCTAAATGTCTCTTGTAATTTCATGAGGCCTGAGGTCGGGCTACAGTAGCAGTGGGAGGACCTGAAAATGGGAATTCTTGCTTTTTCAAAGCCAGCAAAGCACTCACTGTAGACGTGGTACATTAATTAGGAGGAGGCGAAAGAAATCAGTCAAACTTTTTACATAGGAAGCCCGAGGATGTGCGTTTGTCCTGAAGCAGGAAGTGGGCTGTGTTGTGCAAATGGAAATGCTGATGTGATCTTGGAAACAATGCGTTGTTCTAAAATACACAGGGGACAAAGGAGACAATGCCGAACTAAAAATTAGGACAACTGAGCTTTTTGTTTGTTTGTTTTTGTTCCCCTTCCTTCCTTCCTTCTTTCTTACGTGTGGTGCCAGGAAACAAACCCAGAGGCTCCTGTTCCCTGGCAAAGGCTCTAGCACTGATGGACGTCCCCAGCCCCAAACTGGTCCCCAGCACAGGCCCTGCTACCACGTGGCATGACTGAGGCCCTTCTGACCTTCCAGAAGATGCCATCCTGGTGGCTGTGCGGGGTCCTCAGCCAAGCTGCTCTTGTCAAGCGTGTGACTTCTTTTCACCCACCCACACTCTACAGGGGAAGATATCATGGTTTTGTAGATAAGGAAATCAAGGTACAGAGAGAAATCAAGGCACGGGGGTCCAAACACCAGTCCATGGTGTGTTCTGGGAGCAGGATTTGAACACAGACACTCTCTCCCAGGCCATGTGAGCTCCCCCAGCCCTGTGCTCTGCACCCAGACCCTGTGGAGTAGAGTCCCCACCATCAGTCTATTTCTCCTCCTGGTCCCCAGAAACCCAGAACCCACCAGCAGAAGTCAGCAACGTGGACAGCTGGTCAGGCCTCCTGGCTCTGGCCCTAGCAGTGGACTGCACCCCCTTCACCCCTCCATTGCCTGATTCC